GAGAGAGAGAGAGAGAGAGAGAGAGAGAGAGAGAGAGAGAGAGAGAGAGAGAGAGAGAGAGAGGAGGGCATATACGTGAGGTCCATTAGCAATTGCCAGACAGAACCATCAAAATGGCACTTACACAGCAGCCACGTCTGGTGCATTTTCTTGCAGATATGCCCAGCACAATGCAGGAACAAACACGTACAATGCTACAAACAAAAGCCAAGGTGATCAGATACATGAGGGCAGCAGACACAGGAGGAAAGTGTTCCGCTATGGTAGTAAACTTTTTTAGGGTCTTTGAGCATTTTGGACAGTGTCCCCTAGTTGTGAATCTTGTGATCTTGGTGCCTGTGGTCAAGGAGAGGATACGTACAAGATGTTTCATTGCAGCTGCCACCTCAGTTATAACTGAAGAATTGATTCCTGCTGCATATTGTGCATCTGCGCTCCTCTGTGCTATAACTCGGTCATAACAGTGCAACATGCTTCAGATTGCTCAACATGTACAGGCATCAATTATGGACGGCGGATGGATGGTAGTAGAGTCATACAGTGTTCTCATTATGGAGAGCCTTCAACATGCACAGGAATCAATTATGGACTACATACCTTGGCAATTGGAGCGAGGCAGTTGGTGGTGCAGCTAGCATTTGACACGATGCTCATTTCCGGAGAGTAAGATCTTTCATTCACACCGACAACGAACATAGGTGCATCCGCCGAAGGTGCAGTGATAACCACTCTTTGTGCGCCAGCCTGTTCATAGAAAATCATATCAGCATAACGAGGACCATCAACCAGCACATGCATGCAAGTGAGCTTATTATTGTATTTTAATTTTTGATAAGGCAAGGAGTCAAAGGGCATCAGAGGACCCAGGGCACAAGGGAGCTTCACTACGTACATTTTAATAGTTGTAGCATCTCGTGTGGTTAACAAAGGCTGGTTCGAAAATTTATGTGTTCAGTCTGGTCTGGGAGCTTCATACTTCCAAATACCAATGCAGTCTACAAACAAGCTGGCCATGGCAGGTGGAAACAGGCACCGTGCTATAGTTTACATGCTCTCTCTCTCTCTCTCTCTCTCTCTCTCTCTCTCTCTCTCTCTCTCTCTCTCTCTCTCTCTCTCTCTCTCTGTGTGCGGATGGCGGGCCCAACCTCGCAACGCCGTCGGCGGATGCATCACGCATCCCACAAGTCTCCGCCCTCGCATACGGTAAGCAGCGGGTGCAGGGACGAGGCCACCTGCGCCACCGCTCAATGGCGCCGCTCGGATGGCGAAGAGCGCAGAGCCTCCTCACCAAGTCACGACACCCCCTCCACACAAACGGAACACACTGCTCTCTCTCTCTCTCTCTCTCTCTCTCTCTCTCTCTCTCTCTCTCTCTCTCTCTCTCTCTCTCTCTCTCTCTCTCAGTTTACTGTGATCTTACTGTGATTCAACCTACATACAACCTACAGGTGAGTGAAAAGATTTGTGAGATTTTCTCCACCGGAATCTGACAGCTCGAAGCTATACGTCCCCGAGTCAGATGGATATATAGTGAGTGAGAAGCACTACACCAAAGACCCAGTGCCCAATCTTCCTGTCTCCATAAACATATAATAAACTCTTTCAGTCCACTTGTGTCGTGGCACTGCGCGGAACAGCACCAGTGCCCCCTCTTCACGTCCGCAACATTGTGTGAATGCACTTTCCCCCCACTCCTCTCCTCACTCCGGGGACTTCTTCGAGCTGACCACTGTCTTTGAGAGTATCCTCTGTTCCAGCTTCCCGAATCACAGACACTTGGCTGATTCATGTTCATGCACACCGCCAGTGTGTCTCTGCTCAACTCTTCATCTTACTTTCCTAATCAAACCTTTGATGAAACCTTATAGCTTTGATTGAGCAAATCCTCTGTTCCAGCTTCCTGAATCNAACCTTATAGCTTTGATTGAGCAAATCCTCTGTTCCAGCTTCCTGAATCGAAGACACTTCATGCACACCGCCGGTGTCTCTATTCAACTCCTCATGTAACTTTGCTAATCAAGCCTTTGATGTAACCTTATTGACTGAGCAAAGCAGAAAAATGTTCAAATATCTCAAAAGAGGATAAGAAGGGATCTTGTGAAAGACAGTCCAAGGTCAACAGTGAAGTTTGACTAAATCCGGCAGCGACTGGCGAGAAGTAAGTTCAAAACAGTCTTTTCATGGAATTCTGTGATCCTGCTCATTTCATGAAGCCAAACGTAAATGTGAGGCAATGTCATTCATCGCAACAAGGAGAGATGATGGATCAAGGAAGAACAACAACAAGAAGAACACAAGTCGGTACCAATGTCATCTCCCTCCAGACCTCACCACCATCATCTCTCCCTCCATCATCACCTCCAACTCTGCATTCATAGCAAATAACAACAACAACAACTAATGCATGAAAGAGAATCAATGTCCAAATGACACCCTTACAGCCTCGCTCCAGCCCTCTCCTGTACTCGTTGTTAGGGCTACAAGCTATGATAGTAGATCCAGCACTACTGCGGATTTCCGAAGGACAACAGAACTAGTCCTTTGTCCTCTCCTCTCTACTACCGCCATGCCTGTCATCCACAGGTAGTCCTTGCTCAGGAGCTCCAACAGGGGCCTTCTAGATGCAGCACCATTGGTTCCCACCTCCTTTCCCCCTTTCCAACCTCTCAATCACCATAGCCAGGCTGGAAGCTCTTCTCCCTCTACCTCCATAACCCAGGGCTTCTCCTACATTTATCTGCCTCTCCATAACGCTGGAGGTCTTTTTCTTCACGCACATGCTCCACCTTCACATCCAGGAGCTCAGTCGACCTCTCCCCACGGCCAGAGAAGTGGCAGGACTGCTCAACAAGCGAATAAGGGATCAGCTGAACTCGTCGCACAGAATCCCCGGCCTCCAGTACCTCTTGCCCAGGCACTACCTCCCTCTACCTGGCCTCCCCTTGGGTGAACTAGGCCTGCTTGCAGACCAATATCTACCTACAGAACCTGAACCTCGACTTCTACAGGCCTACATTCAGGCCCTGCACCATCGTTACCTACTGGGACATCAATCATACCCTGCCGGGGGCTCCTAACTGACTTGCTGGAAAATCCCTACCATACCACTAACAAATTCTACCTGTCTCGGACGGACCACTACTCTTCCCCAACACATCCCTGCAACTTTCTGTTCCGTCCCTCGACATATCCCTAGCCTAGCTTGTCCATGTCCGAGGCACAGTCACACAGCGCAGCCAACAGAGTTCGCACACGGAATCGGACTCGAACTTCACCAAACACACGGCATACATGCAGTAGCGACAATCAAATAACATTCACTTCATTACACACAAAAGAACGGCAAAACACACCACAACAAGCTCAGACTCGGAATCTTCAGGATTCACTGCCAATCTGATAAAAAATGGTTTAGCACACAATTGCATTTTCACAGAAGTGCAGAAGTTTCAAATTGCATTTTCACAGTAGTTCTGCAATGTGCAGCCAGTGGTGGTCCTACGGGTATGCAGCGGCTGATTTTTCTCTTGAATGAACGAGCTCCACCCAACAAGCCATCATCATTAGTGTTTTCCATTTTCTATGCGCCGCTGTAGCTTTTGCACATTGTCATACATACACGCTGCACATGCGACTACCAATACTTTTCTTGACTGTGCTCCATCCATCCCAACAACTGATAATCATTTACTGATTTCCAAATTCTCCACACTGCACACACAACCGTTGCACAAACGTCGAACATTAGGTGCCACCGCGCAAAGGTCAAATTAGGGGCCAGGGCACACAGCCACCGCGCAAACACTGAACATCAGGGGCCAGGCCACACAGCCGCCGCGCAATCGTCCAGCATTGGGGGCCAGGCCACACAGCCACCGCGCAAACACTGAACATTAGGGGCCAGAGTACACAGCCACCGCGCAAACGTCGAACATTAGGGGCCACACAACATCGCACGCACAAGCAAACAAAACACACACATGCACACATGCGCCACAACACAACCACACACAGGCACTGTGAGCCCACCATGACCACATCACCCTGCTCAGAACCCCCCTCCCCACAACACAACCACCTCACACTCGTCTCAGCAGGAACCAATAAAATTGCAACCCAGCAGGTTCAAACAGGGGTAGGCGAGGGTAGGGAGAACCTCAGAAATAACTTCACTCGTACACACCTTTAAATGTGCAGATGCCTTCTCGAGAGTTGTGAAAGCGCCAGTGGCTTCGATGACAAAATCCAATCCATATTCGCCCCAAGGAATCTCTGACGGGTTCCTACACAAAACAAGTGTACGTTACATTACATCTTCTGCTCGCTAGAAGCTTCTGACTATAATCATACACCTAGAAGCAAACATTTTTTTCAACTAAAGCAAAAAACAAAAAAGAGTGAACAAAAGTGCAAACGCCAGTCCCCTAACCCCATCATCACCTACCGGCAATTGTGTACAGCAACACGGTGTCCATCAATTATGAGCGTTTCATTGTCAGCAGCTCTCACATCTCCACGAAATGGTCCATGGGTCGAGTCATATTTGAACATGTAAGCCTGCAACACAAACAAAAATGCAAAGCATTCAAGGAACACAGCTAAAAACACCATGCTGACGAAAGACTAAAGACTAGCAGCTCATTGCCCTGCCCTTCTTGACCCCCCAGGCAACCATGTTCAATTGCTACCATGGTGTTACGACCGCTACTCCTACCGATGTCAGAGGCCTCCCCTTTATGCTTGAAGCCTTGAAGCCGTCAACATTTCCCAAATGGAAAACAAGAACCGCCTTGTTCATTCCCCGTGCGTATCCAAATGAGACAACAGCAGGCCCATTTGACTGCTCCACCCCTTTTGACTGCTCCACCCCTTCTGACTGCGTTATACAACGTGCCAAATTGCTGAACTGCCTGTTCACATTCTTCTTTAAATAGATTTACTTGCACCAGGTATAATTAGAACACAGTAAGCGGATCTGAATCAGTGACCTCCATAGTTCTTGTTGACATATCAAAATCTTCCTGATAACTCATCCTCTTTCACAAGGCTGCCTGGGATACATCAGAGGGAAGATGGATCAGGGTCCAAAAGAGGAACATATAACACTTGGCAACGCCTTTCTTTGTTCCTTTTTTCTTTTTTCAACCTACAGCCAAGACACCCAATCTCGAGAGAAGTGTGTTAAGAGAGCCCAAAATTTCCAGTTGTTATGAATCCTGGCTATTTCTGAGTCCAAATACACAAGGAAACAGAATGCCATTCAATTGCTTCAAAGATCTGAAGCAGAATCGATATCTGAATCTTCCTCTTACCGCCAGCACTACATGAGGTCCACCATAGTCATGACCTTCTCATTCTATCTCCTCCAGTAGGTGATGGCTGTGGAGGACTACTGAGGCCATGCTGCGATGTTCAGAAGACAATCCAAAAGCAGATACGTCCTCTGCAACTCGGGTCACCATGCCTGATTCTGCCCTGAAGCCTTCGTGATGCCGCACAACCCCTACTGGGGCCTTTCAGGTGCAGCGCCTACCAAGGAGACGAAGACGACGCGTCCACCATAGCCAGGTAAGTACCCCTGCCACTCTCCTTCAGTCCCCCTTCTATCTCGTCCAAGCTGGGCTGCCTGATTCTGCCCTGAAGCCTTTGTGATGCCGCACAATCCCTACTGGGGCCTTTCAGGTGCAGCACCTACCAAGGAGACAAAGACAACACGTCCACCATAGCCAGGTAAGTACCCCCGCCACTCTCCTCCAGTCCCCCTTCTACCTCCTCCAAGCTGCACTGCTTGCCATAGCCAGGCTGAGCGCCCAGCTCTCCTCTTCCTCCCCTAGCGCTGCTAACACCAGCCCTGCTCCTCCTAGAACTCCAACAGCGTGATGCCCAAACTTGCACACCGCAAATGAGGAGTCCAGCACTTCTCCTAGAGATATACCGGCCAACTTGCCTCTTGAGCGGTGACTTCCAGGCTGCGCGGCCTCCCAAGCAACTAGTACCATCCTCCTTTCAGAGGGAAACCTCATTGCAGGTCTGATATCGCCCGCTACAGGCCCTAGACTCAGACTTACCGCTTCTCAAGTACTACCCTAAGGTACTTGGCCTACACTACCACTACTACCACTACTTGCCACAGGTAAGCACCAGCCCTAAGGGACTCCCAAACATAGGTCACACACATACTCAGGCAGACATGCTCTCAGACAGGCACATCAGACCCCGCAACCACGCACACACACAGACTTAGAAATCTCAGCAGAAAGCGGGAATCTCAGCAAGCCACACATTCCAGCAGCAATACTCAGAAATCAGAAGCATTCTCAGTCCGTGATTTTGCACGTCTTACATCACCCCCCCCCCCCCCCCCCCCTCACACACACACACACACCTCTAGCAAGGTTCCTTCGAGTGAGTAGCTCAGCCTGAATCCCTGCAAGATGCAGTCGTAGGCAGTAAAACTGCGGAGCGTGCTGAGGTATACTCTTACGCAGTGCGTTTCGCAGTGAACTTCGCTTCCTGATCTTGGCCAGCAACTATATGGTGTTCGACGCTTGTTTAAAATAAAAAATAAAAAATAAAAAACATGATGCGTTCTGTAGTAAATCTTTCCATGTCAACGGACTGTCGGTTCCTTCCTTGACGCTGCAAGATGTGTCAACGTTACTTCCAAAGAATGCTGCAGTATACTCATCCGCTGTGAGTTTCGGAGCGAACTTGGGTTCCCGATATTGGCTGGAAACGTATATGTCAGTCCTACAGATTAACGACACATGGTACGTACTGTGGGACCGACATATACGTTTCCAGCCAATATCGGGAACCCACATGTTAAGTACATCTTTCCGTGCAACGGATGATACAAGAAATGTACTTAACCTGTCAGTTTCCGGTTCCACCCTTACCAGTGCGATTCACAATTCTGTCAATCTCATGACCGCCTTGCTCAAGGGATCATAGGCTCACAATGAGGAAAGGAAGTTGAATCTTTGTAGGGGGCCCTCTTCTAAGCTAAGTTGAATCTTTGTAGGGGCCACTTTTTTAAGCCAAGAATAGCCTCACTCACAATGAGGAACGGCAGTCGTTTGCATCTTTGTAGGGGCCACTTTTTTAAGNTAGGGGCCACTTTTTTAAGCCAAGAATAGCCTCACTCACAATGAGGAACGGCAGTCGTTTGCATCTTTGTAGGGGCCACTTTTTTAAGCCAAGAACAGCCTCAGATGACATCGCTCATAGAGCGCTCCAATGGCAGATACTCTGCCTTCCCTACTCGAAACTTGCTGGCGTCATTCTCAAAATGAGAACAAATGAGGGATGCTATTCCTGACATCAAGGTGGTGGGGGGCACTCTTCTAAGCCAAGAATAGCCTCACTGCATGATAGAATGCCCAGTGCCCCTAGAATTCTAGAGAGAATTCTAGAGATGGTCGGATGAGATCTGGCAAGAACTCATCAAGCTCGTCATTCCCTCCTCAGCAAGAAAAGAGATTCCCAGCCTTGAGAGAGCCTTCCAAAATAACCTGTTCAGTGTTTAGTACTGTTTACACTTCAAACTCACGAGGCTGGCCAGTGAGATGCTCAAATGACGGGGATGAATTCTTTTACGTCATTTGAGCACCTCCTTTTACGTCATTTAAGTCCATTACACACTCATTTTAGTCCAGAGGTGAATTCTTTTACGCCATTTGAGCACCTCCTATAATGGTAATTTCGGGGATGAGATGCTCAAATGACGTAAAAGAATTCCGCTCTGGACTTCCACAGTCAAAGAGAAACAATTGAGATGATGCTTGACAGTGAACATTCTCAAGGCAGGGAAGGAGACCTCAACAGTACAACAAGAAAAAAAACGCAAAAACAAAAGATATGATGGACCCCTTCACAGCCATGTGGATCGACCCCAGCAAGATAATGTGCGAGGTTTTTCCGGAAGGGAAAATCATATGGAAACACTGGATTACCACCGAAAAGAGAGAACGCATAAGCCAAACGAATATTTTTTCACCTCTTGCCAGGAGACAAAACTCCCAAGCACTGACCCTTACAGAAAGCCCTGCTCCTCTCATATCCCAACGCCCTCCATTTTCCCCCCTCCCCCTCCCCTTCCCCTTCTAGCAAGGCCCCCACCATGTAAAACCCCACCACCGACCACCAACCTCTCAGAGCTTCATACCTCCCGCACTCCCCCATCACCCCCCCAGAAACCCACCCCTCACCCCCCCCGATTCCGACTTCTTCCCCCTCAGTGGTTCCTTCCCTACCGCCTCTTCCTCCCCTCTCACCCCCCTTTTCTCACACACCTTTCCATGTCCTAAGGCGCCATCCAGGATGGAACGAGGCAAATTCAAGCAACATAACAAAAGCGCCAACAACAGAGTCAGCAGGGGACAGCAGAGCAAAATGAGGCGGATTCAGCAGAGCAAAATGAGCAAAATGAGCAAAATGAGCCGGATTCGCCTGAACCGTACTGCAGCTCACTGGATATGCCAACAACTGCAGTTCGTTTTCACATGTGGACACATGATGTGTACGAGGGGTCTCCTACTTCTGTCACAGCTTTCTTTTCTATAACACCGAAGATTGCTGTTCTGGCAAATATGTTACGCATGTTTCCTTTTCGTTTTTATGATCCAACAATGACAACAATCTTCTTTTCTACTGCTTCCATGATACTAGAACCACCGAAAGGGCCAATGGACATCTCAGTGAAGTTAAGACTTTATTGCTCACTCACCAAATTGGCCTCCCGGATAACAGCTGCAATTCCGCTACCGACTTCAACCGAATAGAACGCCCGGTCATAATGGCCGCATCAGGACCTGAAAGTTGGGCACTAAATACAGCTATAATGACCGGGCGTTCTATTCGGGTGAAGACGGTAGGACTAGGAAGATAACTCCTCCTCGGGAGGCAGTTGGGGATTAAGGAGAGATAGAAAAAGACGGGAGACTGTGTCCCCTCAAGAATTGGGAGCAGTCAACGCAGCTCCTCCTCCACGAGGGTATAGAAAAAGACGGGAGACTGTGTCCCCTCAAGAATTGGGAGCAGTCAACGCAGCTCCTCCTCCACGAGGGTGTCCAATTGAGTTCCAGAAACTTGTGAATGGGATGCTGCACCCCATTCCCAGCCCATGCTGCTACCCACAAATAAAATTGGAATCTCAGCTGTATGGAGGAACCCTCCATCCGGCCGGCAGGGGCTCTTGTCCCTGCCTGACAAAGGACCCAAAGATGAGTTAAAAAGAAGGGGAAGGCGCACTATCAGAGGACGTGGGCATGCATAGCTGACAGTCAATCTTCCCACTTGAAACGACCAACGGTGGCATCAGTTCCCTTTGCTAAACACAACATTCAGTGGGGTCCATGTCATATCCGATTTGCGAGAGTAGAGGAATTGGAGACTGAAGCTCCCCAAAATTGATTGATTTAACTTAGAGAGAGGGACAAAAAAAAAAAAAAAAAAAAAAAGACGAGCAGAACAAGGTAAGACCACCACAGCACAGGAAAAAAGTGTCTAGCACTAATAAAGAGGAAGATGCTTGCCATACAATCTGCCATTACAAAAGAATCATCGACAGAGGACAGGGAAAACTGTCCATCATGGATAGAAAGAGCAAGCGTGCGTACCATATACTCTGTCATCACAAAAGGATCATTGACAGCAACAACTTCCATGTCTCCCCTCTCCATAATAGTTCTCAGCACAAGCCTTCCGATCCGTCCAAAGCCTACAACAGGGAAAAGTCATTGAAGCCCAGCCATTGTATAATTAGCTGAATAACAACACATCAACAACACAATTTCGGGCTCTCGACCTGCACCATAGTAGTTTGCCAAGCCTAGCTGCGTAGCACGGCGAACGTGTTCGTGCCCCTCCACGTTCATGACAGCTCACAAAAAGTTCCGCCAAACATTTTTTTTTTTTTGTAAAAAAAGAACTGTTTTGATTTTTAACTCATGATTGGCTAAGAATTAGAACATGATCCCATAGCCAAAGTTGCTTGTACTGTTATTTTACATATCATTTATTTTTTTTCAGATTTTTCTGAGAATCTTTTTTCTTTAACAGGGCCTTATGGTCCTGGCTCCGTTCTATTCTGGGGAGCGTCAGTCCGGTTCCTATTCCACCGGCAAGTCAGAATATACATTACATTGAGACTCCCAACACACTATACATTACATTGAGACTCCCAACACACACACACCATTTCATAAACTGATCCCTGCAAATGAAAAGTGCAATAATTGATTATAATTCCCTTTCCTTACTTCAGCTCCTCATGCTACGTCTTCCACAAACAAGGCCCATGTTCCAGGGCCCTGGACGAAAGAACCCCCCCTAAGATTCCTGACAGGCCCATGTTCCAGGGGTCAGAAAAAGAACCCATAAGGTTCCACGAAGAGGGCCCATGTTCCAGGGGTCAGAAAAAGAACCCCTAAGGTTCCACAAAGAGGGCCCGTGTTCCAGGGGTCAGAAAAAGAACCCCTGAGATTCCTGACAGATACGTATGGTACCCACGTACCAACTCTGAAAGTGTACACAAAACAGTTTCTTTTTTCCCAAAAGAATTAGACCATTTGTCAATTTATGTGTGTCATCCTAGCGCAGGGGCCATTCTCATCTTCTCTTTATCGTTCCCATTTCAACGGATGTCCCAAAGGGGCACATCCAAACAGTTTCTCACCCCGCCCAGCTGACCTTTCCTCTCTTAAACCCCACCGGTACTTGGCCCAGCTACCAGCAACGGAAAAAAATACAGTACAAACATTTCTACGGTAGTCGGATTAATTTGGATGCTCCTGTAGTGAATCAGGGGTATGTGGCCCCGCCAGACACGGCTGTATGTTGTGCAGAAAAATAATCTCAACATGAGGAGGTTAGTGTCCTACTTGACAAGGCTCTATGCGCGGAACGACCATGCATCTCATAAGCAGTTACGCAGGCACATGCTTGTCCGCGCTGGAAAATTTTGTTTGCTTTGCAGATATACCAAGACTGCATAAAGCACTGAGGACTTGAGTTTTGCCTCCAAAAAATTTTGAGAGGTACGGTTGTGCATCAGCGTAACCCAAGCATGCTCTCCACAGCGCATGACAAGCAAGAATCGCGACCGTAATAGTTTGACAAGGCTGGGCATTGGCAGGACTGCCTACCTTCTTCGCCCAAATTCAATGTACAGTCATTAGACTCATTACTGCAGTATTTGCACTGAAAGATATCCCAGATACAGCTACGCGACCATACGTCGCCTTCGGGGGAAGAAGGAAATTGTGTTGTTGTGTCAAAGAAAAATGGAACAGATAAATTCTTGCAAGCTAATAGTGGATGGAATATTCATCATATTCTATTTCAAATTTTCAATCAACAAGCCTTCTGGTTTGAGCTGCATTTCACTTCCCGCCCGCAGAGCCGTCTTACATCCAATCACACCCAAGAACCCAGGAGCATCCAATTCACGGCCACACCACTCACCATTGATTCCCACTCTGGGTCTCACAGTTGATGCGCTTCCCTCTGCACCACATACCACAAGCAACACAAACAATTCATAGTGATAATCTTTTTCTCCACATGCTCAGTGCCCAGGTCGACGGTAAAACTGGGATGTGGTACCTCACATGAGTCAAGGCTCAAGCAGGACACAGTAGCCAGTCTTGACCTCAGAAATGAAAATCAATTTCACGTGCGCAAGGGGGGGAACACACATCATGCAAGGGAAGACCAACCCTTCCCTCAACTCACTCTAGGTAAAGATCAAATAATAGTCGTTTTGTCCATAGGAATCATTGACGGCATAGCCCCCATTACCATTGCAATCGAACGATGAGCCATCTGGTTTTTTTATTTTTTTTTTGCTTTTGTCAATTTCTTAATTTTCTTTCCGACAAAAACTGTGCAATGGCTGCTTCCATTGCACAGAAAACACCATTTCAGCAGCGTGACGCCCAAACTTGCACACCGCAAATCGAACGATGAGCCATCTGCTTTTTTCTTTTTTTTTTTTTTTGCTTTTGTCCACTCTAGCGTTACCACCACCCATACAAAACCGGACCAGACATGAATTCACGCACCACTCCTAAATAGGATCCCCAATTTCCTAAATAGTAAAACATTCATTCGTGGTCCACATCTCTCTCTCTCTCTCTCTCTCTCTCTCTCTCTCTCTCTCTCTCTCTCTCTCTCTC